ACTTTAGAGAATTTGGATTTCCATTCATTCATTGGTGCACACTTTCCTCCTGGCCCATCCCTCCCCCCAGTTTGCTTTTCTCTTTGAAAAGTAAAAAAATAAAATTAAAAAAATCTTTCATTGTTATACAGTTCCCCCATCCCCCAGTCCACTCCACTATGCAGCTTTCATTCTGGACTCTTGTCATGACAATAATACTTAATCATATATTCCTCCCAAACAGTTCTTTCCCTCATCTGTTTCAATGTAGCATACATTAATTATCCCTTCTTGGTTTCCCCCCAACTCCAATGTCAGTCTTACTTTACAACAGTGGCACTATGCAGTATTTGTCTTTTTGTGACTGAGATATTTCACTCAGCATAATGTCCTCCAGGGTCACCCATTTTGAATACTATTTCATGAGTTCCTTGTTTTTCAATGCAATATAGTATTCCATTGTGTGGATATACCACAGCTTCTCTATCCATTCGTTTGTTGATGGGTATTTGGGTTGTTTACAACTCTTTGCTATTGTGAACAAAGCTGCAGTCTGGTGCTTTTTTTTTAAAAAAAAATTTATACTGGTTTAGTTATAAAATTTATAAAGTTCGTATACATTCTTTTTCACGTGTTCCCTTGCTTTGTTCACATAACATTCTCTTGGTCTAGGTGTAGGTTTTGCGTGAGCACAATTAAGTGTTTGGAGATTCCTATTCTTTTCAATGTCAGTCATAATTTTTTATGATACGTGTAGTTGAATACCTTTGCATAGATGATAAAATATAAATAGACATTTTTTTCTGGTACTCTTTGTTTTCAGCCAGAAACCTTCAGATATCTGCAATCATATCTGGTGCCACGGCCTCTTCTAGATGCTGCTTGAATATCTGGGTAGGTCTTATCAATTCACTATCCAACTGAATGTTGTTATTGTTGTTGTTAATGATGAATGCCTTTGAGTTGAGCATGACTCATAGTGACCCTATGAACAAAAGCCCCTCTACAACTATTGACATTTATGAAGGTTCATGGAGTTTCCAGAGGCGTGTGGTTTAGGAAGTGGATGCCGCTCCTGCTTCCAAGTTCATTCATCCACGTGGATATTACACCCATTTTAGTGCCTGCTCCGGCACAAGTCAGGACACTACTGACACCCAGGTTTAATCATTCAGATACGGCCACCAGCTGCTCTGCAGGAGAAGGGTGGTGAAGTGTGCTACCTGGTGGGGAAGTTCTGTGACATCCTGTGGGGTCACCATGAGTTAAAGTGAACTCCAAGGCAGTAGCCTCTGGATTTATTGCTAGTCATTCAATCTATTGATATCGTGTAAATAGTACTGAAAACATTTTTAGCGTGCTCTTTAGCCCCTCACTTTGCAATCTTTTGGTTTCTTCAGTGTTTGAAGAGTCACCTCAGCATTCCTCTCCTTTTAATATAAATGGAAAAGTCAAGTTAGAGGATTTGTCAAAGCCATTCAGAACACATATTAATGTAAAAGCCCATTGCAGTGGGTGACAAAGTTGTCTCCAGCCTCCAGAGAGAGAGCCAAGTGTTTCCACGGCCTGGTGAAGCTGCCCAAACCCCCTGGAAGGAGTGGTGGGAGCGAGGGCCCTCCACTGGGCGGTAGTCACATTGACTGAGACGCTTGTGTGTCTTCCTCAACTAGAATGAGTCCTCTGATCGATTCCTTTGAGCTGCAGTGTTGGAGACGAGTACTGACTATCCCATGGACTGCAGAAAGGACAGGCAGAGATGTATTAGAGAAAGTGTGACCAGAGCGTTCCTTGGAGGCAAGGATGGTAAAGCTTCACCTCTCGCTTTGGGCATGGTGTCTGGAGAGGGACCTCATGCTTAGAAAAGTGGAGGGTCAGTGAAAGAGAGGAAGACCCGCAATCACATGGATGGACACAGTGACTGCAGCAATGGGCTCACGCCTGTCGGAGGTAATGAGAACGGCACAGGAGAGGACAGTGTTGTTCACAGGGTCACTATGAATCCTACTCAAATAGCACCGAACAACAACAACAACAACAACATGTCTAGAGCCTGAGAAGTCTAGAGAATGCAATGGTTTAGCATTTGGCTGCTACTCACAATGTCCTGAGTTCAAACCCACCAGCCACTCCAAGGCAGAAAAGGCTGGGAGACCCACTGAGTCCTGTAAAGACCGAGGCCCAGGAGATCCTGGGGGGCGGCTGGCCGCTGTCACACAGACAGAGCTGCCATGTGATGTGGAGGAGATTCGATGACCCACTTCAACGTCCTCAGAGAGGAGAGCTGGTGCCCGGCACGCATCTACTGAGGGGTAGGATAGAAGGGAGGGTGGATGCATGGTTTCTCAGGACGTAAAGATCAATATTGCTGGAAGGCATTCTGCTGTCATGTTGCACAACTAATCAGATTGATATTGATTTTGATCATGGCTTATCTAAGTTCCTAGAAGAATGCAAAGTGGCCTGGGGTTTATGCAAAGTTACAGAGATAATTATAAATGGTTTCTCTCTCCTAGTCACCCAACCACTCTCAAACAAATCTGGAAACTATTTGCAAATACTGGTGCTAGTTCCAAGAGAAGGTGCTCAGAGATGGCCCAGATAACAATCGATGCTTCTCACCTGAAGAAGTCTCTGATCTTCCCCTGAACAATGGCCGGGAGGTACAGTGATTTTTATAGACAGGTGTGTCAGAGGGAACCCATTTCCAATTCCTATGGCTGGCAATGGAGGGTGCTTGGATCCCTCTTGTGCTGGGACATGCACAGAATTCTGGAATGCCATAATATGGAGCAAAGGACTGACTGCATTGTGGGAATTCCACGAGGTGGAAATATTTACACCTCTCAACCTCCCCTGTTTTTACCCTTTTCTGCTTTTGATTGTTTATTAGAAATGAGTAATCTTATTTTGTCACACAGCAACCACAAAATTTCCTGACAAAACCAAATGACTTCATCTCCATTTGCACATTTTCTCATTAAGTACAAACCAAAATGACAAACAAAAACAAAACCAACAACCCGTTGCTGTTGACGTGGGCCTGACTCACAGCTGGCCCTCTGCACGCTGCCGAAGGCTCCGTCCTCACAGATTTACAGGCATGACGTTACCCAGAGGTCTCCCACTGAGCGGCCGGTGGGTTTGGTCATCCACAGAGGCTCAGCTCCGGGTTAGGAGCACAGTAACCTATGGGCCACCCCCGCCAGAGCACCCCTTTATGGTTCAAGTGTGCATTATATATGTGTGTACATCAAAAACCTTTAGGAGGAGGAGCGTGGCACCAGGATTGGCAATAGACTCAACAACCTGTGTGATACAGATGGCACAACCCTGCTTGCTGAAACTAAAGAGGAGATGAGGCGTTTACTGCAGAAGGTCAAGGACTGTAGTTAGTCTTTAATATAAATTGAAGCTCAACCTCAAGAAAACAAAGATTCTCACCACTGGACCAATTAGCAGCTTCATGAGAGAAGGAGAAGTGATTGAGATTGTTGATAAATTGAGCTTGATTGGCTCCACACTCAACACTCTTTGCACCAGCAGTCAAGAAATCAAAAGACAAATTGCATTGGGAAAGTCTAATACAGGGACCTTTCTAGAGTACTGAAGAGCAACAATGTCAGTCTGGAGATTAAGGTGCGTCGGATACAGGCCATGGTCTTTGCAATTACTTGCTATGCATCAGAGAGCTAGACAATAACTAAGGATGACAGAAGAAGGATCGATGCCTTTGAGCTGTGGCGCTGGAGAAGAGTGTTGAATATACTGTGGACTGCTAGGAGAACAAACAGGTCTGTCCTGGAGAGGGTGAAACCAGGCTGCTCCCTGGAGACAAGGCTTCTAAGGTTCTGTTTCACATACTTTGCACATGTGGCCAGGAGGGACCATTCCTCGGAGAGGGACATCACATTTAGAAGGGTGGAGAGACAGCATAGGAGAGGAAGACCCTTGATGAGGTGGATTGACTCAGTGACTGGAGAAATGGGATTAGGTCTGTCGAAGATGATGAGATTGGCCCAGGACAGGTGAGGCTTCTGAGCTAATGTATATAGATAGTGTCACTATGAGTCACCGGTGACTTGATGGCACATCACAACAACAGCAACAACACATATTAAAGATTGCAATCGGGAAGCGAACCTGTAAGTTGTTAACTGGTTGGTGTACACAGTTGAAGGATGACGTGACACAGTAACTTGATTCAACGTAGTCGGTTATGTGTTGGGTTATTAACCAAAAGTTCTGCACTCTGAGCCCGCTCCCAGCTCGCAGGAATAAAGATGAGTTGGTTTTCTCTTGTTGAGGTTTTCAGTCTTGGAAATCTGCTGCAAGGTCAAATGCCAGGGGAAGGAACTGATGGCAGTAGGTTTAATTTTATAAAGAGCGAAAGATTTCTTTCTCTCACAGTCAAAACATATGTCCATATGTGTGTGCCTGTGTCTGTGTAATCTTCTCCCACCCAAACTCACTTAAATACTTGAGCACCCTGACTCATTTACTTAGCACATCTATTTAAATATGACATATCTCACTGAGCACAACACAGCATTTAAATAATCTACTGTATACTGTAAATATGAAGTCAGTTTGTCTCTGGGGAGAAGTGCGTTCATGGTACCTACAGAGGATGTGGGGACTGAGAAGTAGATATGGCATACACCCAGTATAAGAATCAGATGAGAAAGGCATGCCCTCCACCCAGAGGCACCAAGTGGAGGTGTCCCAGGGCCCCAGGGCATCATTCACTGATGCATGTGTGTGTTTGTGGACCTGTCACATCAGAGTGCCTGTTTACTGCTGGAAATCACAGACACAGAGCCTGGCAGATAGCAGATGTAGCAATTAATAACCTGTCAGGTCTGATGGACAGAAGGGGGAGACAGTGTCCTCTCATATCCTTCCAGCATGTTTTTCTTCCTCATTTCGGAAGACAGGCTCTGCTCCCCCCAGGGGACCCCAAAGCATCTCATTAGCGTCTCTCCTTCCTGACACCCTGATGGCACGGGGCGAGGGTGACTCACCTGCTCTTCTCCCAGAATCCTGAAGTGATGCAGCTCTTTGATCAGGGAGTCGGGACAGCCAGCTGCGGGAGAGAAGAAGTCATCACGAAAACGTCACCATGCTGTGAGGACCCGCTCTCAATGCTGGTGACCAGCGTGGGTGACAGATATGTGCCTGAAAAGCAGACTGACTCATCCGCTAGAACAGAGGACAAACCCTGGGAGCTGTGCCTCTGCCTGGCTCCTGATGGGCCTGAAGGAAGGTTCTGGGTGACACCAGCCCGGTGGTTTCTCCTGTGCTGATTATGTCAGGCCTTTGTGGCAGCACACCTCACTTCTGGCCCTTGGACACGCTCCCGGCGTGCAGCTCTGTGCTTGTTCATTTCCACTGGGCTGGCCCCTCCCTAAGGCGACCTGCTCAGGAGGGAATGAGCCGCTGCCCTTCGCATGACTGGCTGAAGAGCAGACCAGTGGGACGAGAGCAGATCACAGGGTTCTCACTGACTGAGCCATCAACAACTCAGCAGGTCTTTCTTCCTAATCTCTATTACTCTGGAAGTTCTGCTGAAACCTGCCCTGTATCACAGTGACAGAAGGCCTCTGCGGATGCGTGGCTGGTGGCTTACACAAGGCACGCTGGTGGGCATGGGACCCAGACCTCCCACACGGAAGGCAGAGGTCCACCACTGCCCACCACTGCTCCCTTCCTCAACCCTAAACAGAGCCAGGATTTCAGGACTGGAGGGACTGAACGGTCTCCAGAAGTCTCCAGATCGTGGATTATGTACTTTTACCCTCAAGACCGAGGTTACGAATGGTCATCTGGATGTCTCATGTCCACAGCATGCTGTTTGAGGTTAGTCATTTCTAGATCCTTCCAAGGGGGTTGACTAGCACCCAGCCATGAAGATCCAGCACTTGAGGCTGCACAGGGTGGCATCAGAGAAGGGCGGGGGAAGGGTTCTGGCCTGACTTTCTAGCTCCATTCAACGCCGCTTCCCACCCGCCCTTCTGACTTTTGTTCTTCTCTTAAAAATAATAGATCAAATTCATTAGGGCCAGTGGGACTTGCTTCTCAAGAAAATTATTCCATAGTAAAAAAAAAAAGTTGCAGTCAGTAATAAAATAGAAAAGTTCATTTCTTTGATATAAGAAGTCTAGGTAACAGAATCTGCTGGAGTTTTATTATTACAGAAATCATAACTATTGCAAAGTGCACCAGAAAAATGATGACTAATTTCCCCTATTACTCAACACCATGATGGAAGGAGAGTTGAAATGCTCTGAGGGCATTTGTCTGGGTGAGATGATGTGGCCGCTATCTTTCCATGGTTGTCGTTTGCAAGAGATGTTGTTGTTGAGTGCCGTCGAGTTGTAGGAGACTCATAGCGACCCTATGAACTAAAGTCCTCAACGCTTGTGTGACTTTCCTCTTTTCTCCAGGTTCATCGGGTTTCCAGAGGCAAGCTATTTATGGAAGTGGATGCCACTCCTGCTTCCAAGCTTGTTTTAATCGGGGAGCTCCACCAAACACTGTCCACTATGGGTAACCATTATCGCATCTGACACATCAGTGTCACAGTGTTCGGCGTTACAGCAACCACAAGTTACCTCTGTACAGCAAGTGGACAGACCAGGGCTATACGACCTAGAAGAATGTTTGACCAAAAACAATTAAAAACCGGCCTGAGGGCCGCGGAATAGAGTCACCCACGTTTGGCTTGGTAGCATCACTTTCTGTCCACTAGGCCAACTGATCTCTCTCTCTGTTGTTGTAGTGCAAGAGATATTAGATTTATATATTGTTCTAAAAGTGACCGTTACAAGCAGTAAATGTTTACAGCAGGTAGATTTTGAATCAATATAAAGGCGTTCCAAGCATAAGTATGTGAAGCATTGCCTTCTGAGCTAGTAACTGGGTTTCACAGTGACGCATGATGGCTACTTATGCTGGATATTTGAGAGAGGATTTGACTGGATGAGTCCGGCTCTGAAATTCTATGGTCACGGCAAATGCTGGAACCTATTTTTAGTTTCTCATCTTAGGAAGCATTTCATACTCTGAGAATGTGCTTAAAAATTGTTCACTAACGAATGGAAAAGATGAAGAAAAACGCAAAGAAGGTGACGCCACCCTCGAGAAGAGGAGGTTCTGATAGGAAACAAAATGTATTATTAAATGTCAAAGGAACACGTAAGGCCACAGAGCAGGAGAGAGCTTCATCCTTGACATCTGAGGAGGGAGCTGAGTGCTTCTCAGACTAGACTCTGAGGACAAAGAACTGCAGACTGTGGCTTCTTTTACGGGGGGCTGGGGTGGGGGGGAATTCTTTAAATGTAGGGCTGCCATTCTGAAGAGACGTTTCTGTTAGCACAAGTATATTATACTGGGTCATTCGGCCACAATTTAACCTAATAATTGTGATGCACATTGATCTTCCAGTTAGCTATTGTGTTTTCGATTTCTTAGAAACTAAGCAGGGAGCTCTGGTGGCCTAGTGGTAAAGAGCTGCGCTACCAACCCAAAGATTGGGTGGTTCAAATCTACCAGCTGCAACAGGCTATCTCTTCCCGTGTGATTTGCTGCCTTTGAAGACCCACAGTTCAGACTCACATAGAAGAAACCAGAGCATGGTGGGCCGAGGCTGTGGGGAATGTGCAGCAAACCCAAAGGTGGGTCCTCCCTGGGGTTTTGGCTCCAGCTCCGCTAAAGAGGTGACAGCCTGTGAAACACCACTGCTGAGCCAGTCCTTGACTGGTTCCAAGCACAATAACACAGAGGGTTTTCTGTTGGTTTGTATTTTTAAAGCAGTATACTGGTTTTCTAAAAGGCAATGAACAAGCCTCCAGGCAGACCCCATACACATGACACATTCCCACGAGGAGGGCTGAAGGGGAATAGGACATGCATGGGGCGGCTTAGGGGAGGACTGGGCCAGGACACAGCTGTGGGCACATGGGCTCAGAGAACTGGGCTTGACCTGGTCCATGGTGACCCAACATGATAGAAGGCAATGTTGCCTGGTCAGGTGACCCACACATGGTGGTGGACAATGTTGCCCAGTCAGGTGACACAACATGATAGAAGGCAATGTTACCTGGTCAAGTGACCCACACATGACAGAGGACAACGTTGCCTGGTCCAGGGTGGCCCACATACAGTACGGGGCACTGTCTCAAGGTTCAGGACCGACTTCTCAGAAGGAGACCTGCGGGGCTTTCTTGTCAATGTGTCATAGTCTATACGCTCTACTAAAAGCTGTTCATCACTGCAACAATGCACTAAACTCTGCTGAGAGGTGCGTGGTGGCTATGAATGAAGAGGACTGGCTGGGAATTGAACCCAGGGCTCCCACTGGACCTCCACTACTCTCAAGCAGTGATGCAGTTCCTGCAAAATAACATCACATACATACTAACGTCCGACAGCTGATCAGATTCCTCTTCTTTTTGGACTCTCCTTTCGAGCTAGATTGACACGGTGACCAGCTGGACTGATCACCGACGGGCTTGGGCGTGTCAGACATGTCAGGGTGATATAGGACAGGGGAGGTTCTGATCTGTAGTCCACAGGCTCACTATTCCCTAGTGGTAAGGAGTTGTTCTAGCAACCCGAAGGAACAGAGTTCGAATCCACCAGATGCTCCACAGGAGAAAGATTGGCTGTCTCCTTCCTATGTGATTTGCTGCTTCTGAAAACCCGCTGGAGGGTCAGTTATGAGTTTGTTCCACCTAGATGACACATAACAATAACAACAGTAGTTTTATACTTCTGCTCATATTTCATTTATAAATTTCCGTTTAGTATTTCTGGCTGTTAGGAAAAAAAACCACCTGTGATACATAAAGTCTAGATTTGTATGTGTATGTATATTTAAGACAAAACCCTCGATTTTATTCAAACTTAGAGAATTTGAGAGGATTCTTTTCTTTCTCCTTAATTATTCTTTTATAACCAAATTTGAGAAGAACTAATTTGGCTTATTTGAATTCGAGGCAGAGTATGAAACAGAATCTAAAATTAGCTTATCTTCACAATTTATATTCTTGGATTGTCCTAAGATACGGCGGAAAGGATTGATGTCAGTGATAGCTCAGATATAAACATCTCTAACAGAAGACTAGATAATTACCCCAACACCTGGTAGGTGCAGTGCGTATGATAAACAAGGATAGATATAGCACACGGGCTGTCGACGACAGGAGCGGGAACGGGGTCAAGGCATTGAAAAGAAAGAAGAGTGGAGATGGGTCTGTAACTATGCTCATCACGTGAACAGGGATGTGAGCAATGGAAAGAAACAAACTCACAGTGAAGATGGGATTTAAAAATAACGGAACTGGAACTCTAAGACCTGCATATGGAAAGACCTTCGCATCAGTGCAGAGAGAGGTTTACTTGTTGATGGAAATGCAAGTTACAGCATGTAGTGCAGTGAATACTACAAGACCAGAGTACTCTAGAGTACTCTAGTAACACAGTACTGTAAGAAAAAGGGAGAAGAGACTCCTGGCGAAGACAGATGCTGTGAAATAGGATCTTAACCGTGTGGATGTACTTGTGTGTGTCCTCAATCATTCACAGAGTGTAAACAGTTCATAGACACATCTATCATAACTTTGTGCAGTATCATTGCCAACGTGAGCCCATGCCTCTTCTCAAAGTCACAGTGAAAGCTCTGTTAGAATGTGTTCATGAGGGGCTTTGCTGTCCCCCAGTGGTTTTCTCCTCTCACAAGAGCACTATCAAGGTCCTTGGTGGCTGGCAAGGTCCCCACCACCTGCCCACATGTGAGTAACCTTTCCCTGCCTCTTGACCTTGCAGGGAGTCTTGAACACAGCAAGCAGATTCCCACCTCTAGGTCTTTCAGTGGCTGATCCTGGGAAAACATTTGGCCCTGTATCCACGTGGAGGGCTCTCGCATTTCCTTCAAGTCTTTGCTCAGATGTCACCTTACTGGTGAGGCCTCTGGACCATCCTATGAGATTGAGATGCTGAGTGTAGTTCCTGGAAGGAGTGTGGCCATGGTATGCTTTCTCAGTGAGGCACACAGTGTCTTTTAAATGTGTTGTTGCAAAACAC